CCTTGGAAGACAGAAGGAAAATGAGGAGGAACCCAACAGGGGGATGCTGTTGGAAGCCCTTGTCAAGAAATTCCAATGGACTCTCATACGAACATTTGAAAATTGTCCTGTTCTGACTTTTTTTCTAGTTCCTTGTCTAGAACTTGTAATGCTAACTACTCTCAGCTTTACTTCTCCTTCACATCTCCTATTCACCACTCAAGGACTTTCTTCTCCCCCTAGAGGCAAGAGTTATGTAATTTGGGAGTCTTTTAGATAGATCCACTGAAGGGGTACTCCAATTGCCTCATCCTAGGTCCCTGTTCAGCATGGAAGAAGCCAGAGTAGTCTGCGTCTTGATTCCCTATTGGCAATTTGAGTAACCTCTTCAGAGGATGGTATGATAAGAATAGGAGGTAGGAATTGGCTAGGTAGTTAGGGTAAAAAGACCCCAAAGAAAAGTAGTCTGTTTCTTGGCTAACACTCACAACGTCCTTGGGAGGTAGGAATTGGCTAGGCAGTTAAGGTAAAAAGACCCTAAAGAAAAGTAGCCAGTTTCTTGGCTAAAAGTCACAATGTCCTTGGGCCTTTTAGCATCATACTCAGTTCCAAAGGCCAAAAATGTCTAAAGTGTTTGGGAGCTTTTATCTAATCCTTAAAAGATTTTAGGGTTACCTCTTCAGAGGGGGGAATGTTAGAGTAGCCAAAAGCCCCATTGAAAAAATAATAAAAGAAGAAGAAAGAGTACATGAAGTTATCAGAAAAAAGTGATAGAGAGCTATAGGAGGAGTTGGAGGGGAGGGAGTGGGCATGGATTTGATCAAAACACCTTATAGCATGCACGAAATTCTCAATAAATTATTAATTTTAAAAAAAGAATTATTTTTCTAAAAAAATTTTAATGATTTAAATTATTTTAATATGCATTTCCTGGAGAATTGACAGTGTGTGGAGCATTTTCCCCATGTGTTTAGTCCTCTTTGGAAAGGGCATCTTCAAGCCATTTTCCCATTTTTATTGAACTGTTTTTTTTATTATTGATTTGTGGGAGTTCTTTATATATTCTGGACAGGGTCTTTTTTTTGTCAGATATGTGTTCCATGAATATCTCCTCCCTATCAATGGCTTTTCTTTCACTCTCTTAATGCTGTATTTTGGTGAGTGGATCAATTCAGTCTTAACCAAATCAATTTTGGTTTTGATGTTTTAAAATGCAGATCAGAAGACTTTGACATCTATATATAATTAGGACTAGGAGGAATTCTAGGTATCACCTATGTGTGCTGGATAGCTTTGGTTGCCAACTTGACACACCTCAATTGGGGAATTGCCTCCACTGGACTGGACTATGGCCATGTCTGTGGGGCATCTTCTTGATTATTGAGTGATGTGGAAGAGTCCAGCCCACTGTGGGTGGTGCCACCCCTGGGCAGGTGGACCTATGTTGTATAAGAAAGCAGGCTGAGCATGGACCAGAGGATCAAGTCAGTAAGCAGTGTTCCTCCATGGCCTGTGCTCCAGCTCCTGCCTCCAGGTTCCTGCCCTGAGTTCCTACCTTGGGCTCCCTGATGAACTGTGACCCGGGAGATGTAAGACAAATAAACCCTTTCCCCCCAAGTTAGTATTGGTCAGAGTGTTTTGTCACATCAATGAAGAAACAAACCAGGACAGAAATTGGTACCAGGAGTGGGGTATTGCTGTGACAGACCTGACCTTGGTGTTTCGGGGAGGACTGTGGAAGTGTTTGAAACTTTGGGTTGGAAAAGCCATTGAGTTTGTTGCTGTGGAGCTTGGAACAGTTATGCTGAAAGAGTTTTAGATGATGGAGGCCTGGCTTGTGAAACGTCAAAGGGAAGCAGAGACTATCAGGGCTGTTCATATAAGATTTTGAATTGAGAATCTGTGGGTTCTGGTAGGCTAGGGCTGAAGAATCAGCTGTGATTAAGAAGGGACCAGAACCTGAATAAAACCTTTGCTTTACTGGGACAATTGATGCTGGTTAGCTGGGGCTGGAAATCAGCTGTAAGTAACAAGAGGCCAGCATCACTGTGGTGAAATCTGGGAGGTATTTCCTCAGGGTCAGCACACAGAAGCCATGGTCCAGATGGGGCCTGAACCTCCATCTCAGGCTGGAAGCAAGACTTGGTAATGTGTGAGAGTCTCCTGCATGGTTCTGGTATTGAAAGTGTGAAGGGGTCACAGAGAGCAGCTGAGGCTTGGCACTCTGAGAGGCCAGGAAAGGCTATTGGTGAAAGTGCAGCCTCAGTTGTAGTGAAGACCCCAGGACTGAAGGGATCACAGAGAGAATCTGAGGCTTTGCACCCTGAGAGGCCAAAAGAGGCCATTGGTGAAGGTGCAGCCTCAGTTTCAGTGGAGACCCCAGCTTTTTGGAGATGCCAGGACCATGGGACGACCACCAAGGGCAGCAGTAGGTGTGGGAAGGAGCTGGCCTGGGTCTGCAAGATGAGCTGAGTGTGCTGTGGACGGCAGTCAGAAGTGGAGCTGCCAGAACCCTTTGGAGCTCAGAAGATTGTGAGCGAATCCCAGATGTCCAGCCTTGAGCTATTTGCTGGACTTAAGTTTTGATTAGGTGTGCCCAAGTCTTCCCTTTGAAATAAGACAGTACTTATTTGGGATTTTACAGGAGCTCACGGTTAAGAGACTTTTAAAAGAGACTGTGGACTTTTAAGTGTTTAGATTTTTTTAAAGGACTGTGGGACTTTTAAGGTTATACTGTCTTATGTTGTGATATTAACATCACATCTTGGGGACAAGAAATGGAAAGGTTATGGTTTAATAGTGATGTTTGTGCATCAAGTTGACAAGGGGTCAGTTGTGCTGGATAGCTGTAATGTCAACTTGACACACCTGGGTAGAGGGAACCTCAGTCGGGGAATTGCCTCCATTGGACTGGCCTGTGGTCATGTCTGTGGGGGCATCTTCTAATTATTGAGTCATGTGGGAGGGCCCAGGCCACTGTGGGTGGTGCCACCCCTGGGCAGGTAGGCCTTTGTTGTAGAAAAAAGCAGTTGAGCAGGAGCCAGATGAGCAAGCCAGTAAGCAGTGTTCCTCCAGGATAGCCACACTTTCTAAGATCTCCCAAAACACCACCACCAACTGGGGACAAAATGTCCAAATACTTGGAGCCTATGGGGGACATTCTCATTGGAACCATCCTGTTTTTGATCCTTGTGTTCACTAGAATACCTTGACGTTGTGAAGAAATACCACTGCCTGGGCCCTAGCACCACAGATTCTGAGTTGCTGAACAGGGTGGGGCTCTGGTATCAGTATTGTTGAAAAGATTCCCAGGGAGTTCTAACAGGCAGGGAGTGCTTCTAGCCCTGTGAGTACCCAGAGCCCAGGAGAATGCCCTTTAGCCTTAACAGGTATGTGGCTCTCCCAAAGTTCCCAGCTTGCTCAAGAAAGTCCCAGGTAACTCTGTTCTGGTGTAGTAATTACTTGCACCCGTTGAGCTCTCAAAGTGTACAGACTTTGGACAGTACACTGTGGGGTCACCCACTTTCAGTTTTCCAGGATCACTGCTGGCTGTACACTAAGCCTCCATTTTCCCATGCTCAGCCCAGCCCTACCCTAGCTAGTCTGAATGCTTTGCAAGATAACAGCTGGGAAACCTCTAAACAGAGGGACCTGACTTTTCCTTCTAGCTGACTACATTAAGACCCCTACAAGGAGAAGTGGCGTTTGGACTGTAGGACAGCACCAGGAACTGCCCTCTCTTAACCAAAGCCGTACTTCTAGCCCCTACCCTTGGCCAGACAAGGATGCCGCTTAGGTGCAAGGACACATCACTGGTGTCACTGAGCTGATGAGAGAGGGTCTTGCATGGCCAAGGGGTAAGTCTTCCATAGGACACAAAGCCCCTAACACAGAGGACACAGAAGCCCCTAATAATTCCAGGAGTTCAGAGAGGCATCATCCTCTTCCACTGATCACTCCCTGAGACATCCTGGAAGAGCCTTCTGTTACTTCTTTGTGATAAGAACCACACAAGGCCAGCACCCCTCATCTCTCCCTCCACTGCTACATGGCTCTCCCCATCACCACAGACTGAGTGTACCTCAAATGTACAGTCAATGATATCAACCCTGCCTACCTGTTTCTTCCAGATCCACTGATCCACCTGAACCACCTCCCTGCCTCAGCTGTATCATCTGTACAGAAAAACCATGCTCAGGATGGTTGTAGTGGATGGAATGCCCCTACCCCAAGACAGAGTCAATGCCCAGCATCAGTGAATGTGACCTGATATAGAAAGTGTCTTTGTAGATGTGATAGGGGATGTTAGAGATAAGCCTATCCTGGGTCCTCTGGTGAGCCCTAAAGCCAGCAACAGGTGTCATGTGAGTGATGGGGCGGGGGAGGGCACATTGGAAACATAGGAAGAGAAAGTCATGTAAAGATAGGAATACAAGGAAGAGTGATCCAGTTACAAGCTAGGGAACAGAAGGAATCACAGGGAACCGCTAGAGGCTGGAGGAGGCAGCAGAAAGGGACTGTGCTCTGGAACTCCCAGGGAGCATGGTTCCAAAGCAGCTTGAGGGCTGCAGAGCTCTTCATCACACCTCCAAGTTCAAGGCAATTTGCTGGGACAGCTCTTGGAGGTAAATACAACGGTTTAAGCTAGTTCGACTGTTGGTCGCTATATCCTCTTTTTTTCCTTGCAAAGCTGCTCCGGATGCTGGATGCTGTCTGCTCTAAAGCGCTGCCAAATGCCAGAGAGTGTGCGTGTAATAAAAATAAATAAATTAAAAAATTGTTTCATCAAGGGCATTTTAAAGTAAAGCTAGCATTTTCTTTCTCTCTCTCTCTCTCTCTCTCTCTCTCTCTCTCTCTCTCTCTCGTCTTTGCTAATTCGCATCTTTGGCTTACCCTTCCCCCAGGGACTCTGTAAGCATTTCCTGGGAAGATATAAGCTGGCTTGGGTAATTTATTAAGACCCATACAGAAGCTAGGAGTGGGGGAGCAAGCAGGATGAGTTAGCATAGTGACAGCCGACTTACAGAGTGACAGCTGCTGAGCATGCTGTCCCCGCCCTCCTTGTCAAGGGCCTGGGGACAGCCAGGCTCTTTTGATTTCTGGGCTGAAAATAGAACCTACTGCAAAGGGTGGAATAAGACAAGCAGCAAGAATCCAAGAGGCTGAGTTCTCTGCACCCTCAGGGACCCGAAATAGCAGCCTCGAAAGTCCAGACGGTGCCAGAAGGAACGAGAAATGGGTGTCCTGAAGCGGAAGGAAGCCCCTGGCCTACACACAGCAAGCTCACTGGGCCCCAAATATGCCTGGGAAGGCTTGCTTCAAGGTGAACGTGATGAAAACGATCTCCTCGTAGTTATTGGATTCATACAGACACCCAAACTGTGGGGAGCCATCAGGGCCGTGCCCCATGCTCTGCAGATCCGAGTAGGCACAGATGCCAGTGGCCAGCAGGGTGGGCTCTGTCCAGGCTGTGGGGTCCAGAGGCCTTGGGTTGAGGTACACACCCAGGTTGGTCCTCCTCTGGGAGTCCGTGGGGTGGGTATAGAGAAGCCACACATCAGAGGCTTCTGGCCCCAAGATGGGGCTGGGGAAGGTGACCACACTCCCATGGCAGCCGTGGGGAGGCTCCACGAGTTTGCGTACTGCCTGAGTGTCCTGGAAGTCCAGGCCATCGTTGGAGCTCTGTGCCTGGACCCTGGCTCCCAGGGAGCTTCTGGCATTGAGATACACCACTCTCTGAGCCCCAGTTCCGACCTCAGCCACCTGGCATTCTAGCGAGTTCTGGGATAGAAAGTTGCCTCTCTCCCATGTGCTCCCATGATTGTGGCTGAGGAAGCAGAAGGCAGAGGGGGCAGGTGCCCGGATGGGGTGTAGTTTCCGGTAGGCATAGGCAGGTACCACCAGGCTCCCAGCCCTGTTGCTCAGCTGCAGACAGTGCCCTGGGCCCACAGCAAATGTAGCCCAGTCCTGGTGGGCCTTCCCAATGGTGGCACTGGTGAGGTCCCTGACCGGGCTCCAGGTCCTTCCATGATCGGTGCTGGTGACGTGACACAGCCGTGTGACATTGACTCTGGTCTGGAGTTGGTGGTGCTCTGATACCTGCCCAGGGATGGCGATGAAGAAGAGGAAGAGGGTTCCAGTCTGCTCATCATACAAGGGACACGGGTTCATGGAACGATGGCCCTCCAGCTGAGCTTGGGTCACCACCTCTTGAGTTTGCCACTGAGTGCAAAGAAAGGGTAGGACAGATGATCTTGAAACAGCTGCTGACAGTGACAGGAGTTACTCTAGGGACTCCTGAGGCAAGGATATCTTGGGGATTGAGTTCAAGGCCACCAGGGAAATATTTCACCCACCAATCACACCCTCCTCAGAGCATCAGGAGCCCCGCTCTCCTTTCTCCCTCTCTGGCTCTCTCTCTCCCTCTGTCGTCCCCTCCCAGGTTGCACAAAGCCTTTGTTGCTGTCATTCCCAACAGAGATCTGCAAAGCCAACATGCTAGACGCCAAGATACACAAGTAACTAGGGTGGGAACATTCCCAGCCCCATCCTCTTCCCAGCCCAGGTCAGTATTCTTTAAAGGCAGAGACTTAGGGACCACAATAGGCTGGCCAGTGCAAGACAGGATATGAGGGTCACCTTGTATCATCTACTCACAATACTCTACTAACGCATCCTAGGAGGGTGCACTTGGAGATACTGAGGACTCACACTGAGCTTCCCTACCATCATGGCCATGCAGGCTACACCACTGCTGTACTGTCTGCCCATGTTCATCACCAGCTGCCCCGTGTGACTCCAAGCACAGACACTGTACCAAAACCTGACATCCACTGCGTCATCTAATTTCCCAAAGCTAGGGGAGGAGTGTCAATAGCTCCACTTCACATCTGAAGAATGAGAGGCTTAGATAGGGTAGGTAAGCTTCCTAAGACGATCCCTTGGATAAGGAATGGAATCAGGACTCCCAGGTGCATCTATTTCAAATCCCATGAATAAGTACAACAATTATGTACCAATCAAAACAAATGAAACTTTAATCCCATGCTTTGAAAAGCTACCATGCAGTCATGATGATAGCAATGTTACTTCACCCATGTCAAGCTTGTCACTTGGGTGTCTTGGTACACCAGAACCGACTGTCTTAACTTCAAGTTAGAACTTGAGGATGTAAGCGATTACCCAACTCCTAGCTATCAGGTTAAAAAACACTTAAAAAGTACCACTCCCATTATGTGACAATAAACTGCTCCTCTCTGGGGCTCTGAAGGGTGCTGGAAAAGAGCCACTCATACAATGAAGCATGTGGCCAACCAACAGGACTTGCTCCTGGTGAACCCCTGGTCCAGGTCAGTGCTCACTGGAGCACCTTTGCTGCCCTATCTCTAGATGGTTCTCCAGCTCCCTTCCAAGTGCTCTAGATGCTCTCTTCACCTCAGTCATTGAAGGGTGGACTTGACCTTGAGTTCTGTGAGATCCAGGTCTGGACCCATTGTACACAACAGCACAAGGGTGTGTGTCAGGTCATCCTAGCCGGAGCCACCTCGCTGGGTTCCACCTCACCTGGACCTGGTGGGTGGCTGCGTCGTAGCCACCTCTGCGCAGGACGATCAGCTCTGCGTGCTCATCCTTCTTGCTCACCCGCTTTTCTGCAAAAGCCAGTAGGGTCTTCTGTTCCCGCAGGTAGAGCAGAGCGGGGATCCTGTAGGCATTGGCACCCGTATGGAACAGCCTCTCCCTCTGGAGGACGGGGCAGGTCTCCATGGGCCTGTGAGCTGGGAAAGGAAGAAAAGACATATGGCCAGCTCTCATACCTGTGCCAGGGGCCAGAGTTGTCCACTGACATGGGTGGCACTCATCCCACAGGCAAGGCAAGCCCTGTCTGGGTGGTCTGTCCTCCCTTACTGGGCTTCGTTACCCCATTTGCCAGGTTTCCTTGTGGCAGTGGCAGCACTCCATCTAGGAGTATGAAAGTGTGTTTTGTATTAGATTTCTGCCGTAAGCTAACTGAGCCCCTCACAACAGACTTATGACAACCTTCAGCTGCTTTTGCCAAAACCGACATATCCATCAGATGCTAAATCCGAATAGGGTAGGAGCACTTGCTGAGTGGCGTTCTGCAGCTGTCCAACTGCCAGGAAATGACACACGGGAGCTTTTTATAACTCCAGAGCCCTAGAAAGTTGTTTCAGAGAAAAAGAAAATGCCTTGAATCCCCAGGCTCTGCTCCTAAGACTGCCTAAGGCTGAAGAGCCAGCTGCCCCCGCTGTGGGGGTGCCAGCCCGAGGCAGGCAGGGGGCGGCCCTGGCACTGGAGGAAAGAGGCCGTGCCTGCTAATGCAGCTGGGAAGAGCCCCAAAGCTTTAAGAAAATCAACTGCAATAACGATAAGCACTTGCTGGAAAGGACAGGGAGGTAGGGGTAATGTGGTGACTGTGGCCGACAAAGGTCTCTTCAGGTAGACTAACTCCCTAGCCAGGTGGATCACCCTCAGCTCAAAGAATCAGCTGCCAAGGTTATACCCAACAAGGACTGTATTTGTGAAACACCTACCCAGAATACAAGACCAACTAGATCCCTCATTCCAGCTTGGGGTGAGACCCCCGGGGTCAGCTGAGTGACCTCTGACACTGCATCTTAGCCCCCCTTCTCTCTGTCCCACTGGCTGCTGTCCCTCCCCTCTAAGAGTAATGACATCAAGAGACCCAGATCAGCTTGCTGCAGAGGATCTGCACGTGAATGTCACTGGCGGCCTATGACACCTGGGCTATGATGACACGGCCTGTGCAGAAATGGAAGAGGGGGACCTGGGCTTTCCTCTGTAAATATTTCTACATTTTTTCTACATTGTAATATCTATTTAAAACTTAATTTAACATTTTTTGAGAAATGTAGTCTACCAGTCAAGTCACAGTGGGTGATATTAGGAAAGTGCGACAAAATAAAACACAGAAAGGTGAATGCTAGCAGAGAAAAAATGTTCATCAGATGGCCACATTAAAGCTTTGCTATAAAATTGAGACTTGGGGATCAAGACATGGCTCAGCAGGTAAGAGACTCGGGGCTTAAGAGATGCTGCTCTTGCAGAGGACCCAGGTTCAAATCCCAGCACCCATATAGCAGCTAACAACTGTCCATAACTCCAGTTCCAGGGGATCTGACACCCTCTTCTGACCTCCTTGGGCACTGCACAACACGAATGCATTTACATGCATCCAGGTAATATACACATAAAATAAAAAAATAAAGTATTTTTAAAAATAAATAAAAAATAAAATTGAGACTCGAAGCTGGGTTGTAGGCCCATGCCTACAATCTAGTGCCTGGGAAACTGAGGCAGGAAGATTGTTTGGCTGAGACGCTGTCTCAAAAAACAAAACAAAACAAAACCTAAAATCTACACCTGCAAGCTATGCATTTTGCTCTGTGGCTATAACTGTCATAAAATCTAAGTGAGAAAAAAATTAAATACGATTAAAACCAAAAGAACAGAAAAGAGAGGGAGGATTCAATTTCAGTGTCCTCCTAGAAACTCGATCACAGGCTGATTTCAGTGCCATGGGATTGCTTTGGAAAGCCAACCTTGATGAAAATTCCACAGTTACCATAAAATCAGGTTTAAATGCTGATTTTAAATTGTCCTTGGGGCCCAAACTTTCTGTATTCCAATGAGCTTGTCTTCTGTATACAATATGGGAGGTTATCTGAGGACATCCACCAAGAAACTCGGAGGGGAGAGCAAACCAGAGCCGCCATCCAAAGGAACCTGAAAGAAGCGAAATTGATCCCTGGGGTTCAAAGGGGAAAGGTGATGACTAGAGCAAGAGCAAAGGTCAAGAACAAGCCCGGGAAAGGGATCAGTGGGTTTGATGAGGTGAGCTTGACAAGAGCTCATGGTTTGGAGAGAGAAAAGATGGGAGGGGAGAAGGATGGAGGCCTCTGGCCAGAACGCATGACGTCAGCCCCTAGCCGGTCTACCTGCAAAGATGGATCACTCTCCATTTTCAAAACGGATGTATAATTTCACATAATATTCAATTCAGCTTCTTATTTTTCTTTTATGTGTTTGAGTGTATTACCTGCATGTATGTAAGCGCACCCAAGTCATGCAATATCTGTGGAGGTCAGAAGAGGGTGTCGAATTCCCCTGGACCTAGAGTTTCGGATGGTTTAAGTCACCATGCAGGTGCTGGGAACTGAATCCAGGTCCTCTACAAGAACAGCCAGTGCTCTTAACCGCTGAGCTATCTCTCCTGTCCTACAACTCAGCTTCATCACCCCTATCTAATTCCAGATTACTTTCATTGCCCCCCACAAATTCCGTAACTACGAGCTGTCACTGTTCTTTCCCCCAACCTCAGACCCTGGATCCACCAATCTGCTTTCTCTCCGAACTTAGCCTGTTATAGGCACATCTCATACAACTAGTCAGTGTATGGCTTCTACCTCTTAGCATGTTGTCTCAAAGATTCAATCATGTCTTAGCATGCACTATCGCGGGGGTGGAAAGCTTTTGCAATGTGATGGTAACGAATAACTTTGCAGCAGGGAAAACTCTTAAGAGACAGATATGGGGGAGATGAGCAGGAGTCTCCCCATCCTGCCCCCTGTGGTTGCCCAGGATGGAAGTCTCTGTTTTCCAAAGTTTCCCATTCCTGTGACCTTTGTGGACATATGTTTCCCTGCTTAATGATCACATGCACCTTTTCCTTAATTGTCACCTCTGTGCTGTTTTGCCTTTTGTTTGCATTTCCCCACACAGGAGTATAAAAGCCCCCAAAACATGAACAAGGGGTCTGACTCCCTTATTCGTGGAGTTGGTCCCACTAGCCTAAATTATGAACGTCCTCTCCTCACCTGACTTCGGCCATTGGTCTCTAATTTTTCTGTAACGGCACTAGAACTTTCTTCTCTAGTACTTTCTTCTCTTTCTTCTTCTTCTTTTTTAAAAAGTCTCTCATGTGTAGCCTAAGCTGGTCCTGAACTCACTACGTAGCCAAGGGTGACCTTGAACTCCTGATCCTCATGCCTCCGCACTCCATGTGCTGGAACTACAGGTGTGAACAACCATGCCCAGTTTAAGCAGTGCTGGGGATCAAACCTAACACTTCATACCTGCTGGCCAAGAGTTACTCCGATTCTTTTCCAAGTGAATTCACCCTTTCACATTTTCCCTGGGCGTGAAGGGCGTTCCCATCTCTCTAGTGTCATTGTGTGTTTCCAATTCCAGGCCTGGTGTCTGTGCAGGGGACCTCAGTGTGTTCAGGTTGTGTGACAAATGATCTTGGCACAAATTTGTTGGACGTTGGAGTTGGCTTTAAATTTTCTATTTATTTGTTTTTATTTTCTTATGTGTATGAGTCTTTCGCCTACGTGTAAGCACACTCATATGCGCAATGTCTGTGGAGGCCAGAAGAGGGCGTCGGATCCCCAGATCTAGGGTTACAGATGGTTATTAGCGGTCATATGGGTGCTGAGAACTGAACCCCCATCTTATGCAAGAGCAGCCAGTGCTCTTAACTGCTGAGCTATCTCTGTAGCTTCAGGAGTTGAATTTTAGCCTGGGGGCGATGGGAAGGTTTCTGGGACTTTGAGGCAAGAGGGTAATCTAATCTGATCCATTTTATGAAGTTTCTCAGTGGCAGGGAGAAAAAGTAGAAGATGAGGTTGCTGCAGTTTTTCAGATGAGATTGGACAAAAGCCTGGAGGAGGCAGAGACCAGCAACAGAAGAGACCCCTTCTCCTAGAGACAGGGCAGCAGAAACAATATGGGGCCAAAGGCCTTACTACCCTGAGCAAACTCTGCCTCATCTGATCTCAGACGCTAAGCAAGCCTGGCCCTGGAAACTGGTTTTCTTAGTGCCCATGACTGTGTTCCAGATTCCTCCCTTAGTCTGCCGTCTCTTCAAGGATGGCAGCAAATGCATTTGTTCCTGCCACGGGGAGATATTGTGGTGTGCAAACCTGGATGCACCAGGAACAAAACAGAGAAGACCCATGTCCTGGTGGAACGGGTTTTCCATCGAGGATGAAAATGTGACATCATTGCCAGTACCCGGCCGGGATAGCAACTGCCTCTTTAACCCACAGGCACTCTGCCTTCTGTAAGGCCACAAGGCTCAGAGTGATGCCCTTTATGGAGAGACACTGACTTGGAGGCAACAGGGCATCAGACACCTGCTGAGCCCAGTCGGTCCTCAGGCACTCATCTCTCCAGGTGACTGATCCTTGTACACAGAGAGGCAAGCCCAGGAGTGGGGAAAGGCAGGGAAAGGACTTCGGGGTCAGCTTTGGATGTCTTCCCTGCTCACTCAGTCACTCAACACTGGCCCAAACTCATACACCCACCAACTCCTCACCCTCATTGATCTCAAAATAAGAATACCAGCTGATCCTTGCAAAATGCCGGATGCTCTTTAAGTACTCAGTATTTTCTAAAAAAAAAAAAAAAAAAAAAAAGTTTGCAAACTATAATTACAAATTTTGTTACTTGTAACTTGCAAATATTTCTTCATTATTTAATCTTCCTGACACCCTCATGAGGTAGACACTGGTATTGTTCCATTGTGCCAAGGTCACCCAACCCTTAAAGTGTTTGAGCTTAGCGCAAAGGCCCATCCAGATGTCATCCTCTGTACCTCAGCAGACCTCCAGGGCCTTCTGGGGCACCTTGGCATGGCTCTGGCTCCAAACGGGCAGCTGCTTCAGGCTGATACAGTGGGAGCAAAACAGAGTCAGGAGTCCAAAACTCAGATTCTGAAGCTGGGGACACGGCTTAGTCAATAAGCTGCTTGTCTTGTAAGCATGAGGACCTGAGTTCAAACCAGAGAACCCATGTAAACAGCCAGGAGTGGTGGGGTGCATTTAAAATCCCTGGGAAGGCAGAGAGAGTCGTCGGAACCCTGGGGCTCGCAGGCCAGTCAGCCTAGTGGAATTAGTGAGTTCCTGATAAAGTAACAGATCCTGAGGAATGACACTCAAGGCTGACCTCTGGCCTCCACGCTCACCCACCCAATATGCACACAAACTTGGATTCTGGCCCTTGGTCCGTATCATATCAGGCAAAAATCTCTCTTCTCACATGGCAAGAGGCAGCCACGGAGGCCTCTTCTACAGCAGTAGGAGAGCCTAGAGGCAGTGCGGAGACTGGAACAGACATCTCTTGAGAGGCTGAGGGCTGACAGGGGCCTCCGTACAACCCAAGCCACACTGCAGTAACTAGGCAACAAGAGAGGCGACATCATCATGTCAAAGTAAAGAACTTGCTGTTTTGTACGTCAGAACTGGTGGTACAACAGCAACTTCATTTGGTTTCCCCCCCTGCCCCCCAAGGCCACCAGAGTCTGACTGACAACTTGGTGGTTTTGTGGCTGGCCACCAAGCTCAGAACATCCTCCACGAGTAAGCTCACTTCTCCCATGCACCTAGAAAAGCAGGCATCTGTGTTCTGTCACAGATGTGAGGAGACAGAAGTAGGCTGGGGAGTGGAGGTGACTCCCCACGAGTACACAGCCTGGGGTGGTGGAGGTGCATGCATGGGTGAGCCTGGACCTGCAGGATTCCACAACCCACACTCCCAACCCCTACGCTCTCCTGCCAGGAGGCCCACAGCTGGGACTCCGAAGTCTCTTAAGTTTCTCCCAAAAAAGATGCTCAGTCAGTCCAGGATCCTGCTGTCGAGGTTGAGGGGGGCACAGCCTGGCATACACCTTGCAAAGTCTAAGGTCTCATTGCCATGTTCACTAGTCTATTTCAAGGAGATGCTTGACCATTCACAAATTGGCACCTTCTATGTGCTGGGAAACAAGCTGCCAAGCCCCATCCCTGCCTTCCAGGATCCCAAGGAACAGCTGAGCATCAGTAATTATGGGGAAGGAGGAAGAGGTTCGTGCTTCCTTTTCCAGAGAATAGCCTTTGTTCTGAGCTGGTTTCCAGTGAATGTTGCCTACTGGATCCCACCCTGAAATGATGCCTTCTTTCCAAAAAGCAGCACCTGTCTACCTCAGACCAGCAACAGTGCCATTAAAGCAGCCTCACAGGGCCACCAGCTCAAAGTACGGTCAGCTGTTCCCCAAGAAAAATCTGTTAGACCCAGTGCTTGGTCGGATTCCAATCCCAAACCAAGTGGGGCCCTGGAGCACCCACGCTGACACACTGAGCTCACTTTTAGAAGTCCACAGCAACAATCACTCCAGAGCAGGATCAGCATCCCCACTGATGATCTGAGACCCACACACACTGCCATCCAACATTGCCCTCCAGATACCTAAGAACTCAGAGTGGGGTGTTCTGCCAGTGGGGGTTGAGGGACCACAGACTGGCATGCTCTTTAAATTGCCCTCTCTGGAGGCTTTCCCACATTCCACTTTACTTCATGTAACAACTTGGCAGCAAGAACTCCTCTGTTGTTTATGTCAACAGAGGAACATGTGGGTCAATTTAGAGATAGGCCATACCTCAGGGACTGCGTTCCAAGCTGGATCCAAGGAGCTCTGTAATTTAAGTCAGCGTGTGTGGACAGGCAGTGGGGATCCAGCTTCTACAAAGGTCTCTGGGGTTCCTGCTTTCCCCTGGCCTCGGCTCCAGTCTCAGCCCCTCTGTCAGTCCATGCCTATATACACCTAAGGGAGTCCCCCCACCTGCCTCCCACTCATCTGACCAGGCACGCTCCAGGGATACCGTCAGTGTCCAGGCCCAGCCCTGGCCCAATTAGATCACTGCCTCTCATTATCCGGGAAGAAGTCTGCCAGCTACCTACGCAGTCATGCCCGAATCAGAGATGACCTAGGGCAGCCTGAGTCAAGTTCGCCTCTTAAAACATGGATGTGTTGAGCAACATGTGCTCAATGAGAACAGACTTCCTGCGGCTTGAGAAAGTGCAAGGTCAGGGAGGGGCAGGTTGGAGCCACGTAGAACTCAGCTGCCACTCTGAGCTGTGGATAGCTGAACGATCTCTTAGAACCCCAGGTATCTCCTCTGAATAATGAAGATAAAAAACCTCACAGATTCCAAGACACATCCAAGTTCTCAGAATCAGAACAGAGTTCCTTTGGGACACCCTGACAGTAACACTAAAGCAACCAGAGGCCGGGCACGAGCACATTTCATACATGTGTGTCTGATAGCAGTTACTACCACAAAACACTGTTTTGGAACACAAAAGCAAAGCTCAGGCTCACACAGAAAATACTTCTACAAGAACACTTATCCAGTAACTGCCTGTCCAACTGAGACGGAGGCCAGCCACCCTGTTTTCCTAATCCTTGTAGCTAAGAATTGTTTCAAAGTAATTTTTACAGAAACCTCATTTTTCCTTTAAGAGTTTCTCTGTACCCCTTTCCCTTCAGATATACCCACACATTTCCCATGGCCATGTCAGCTTCTAAATAGAGCTCATTCCTTTCTCTGTGTCTCTGTCTCTGTCTCTGTCTCTGTCTCTCTGTCTCTCTCTCTCTCTCTCTCTCTCTCTCTCTGTTATTCAGTGTTCAACAGCTACCTGATCTATGTTCAACAGCTAGCCAAGATATCAAATACCTTGCTCTACAGTCTTTGGAGCACTTACTGACACACCATTGGTATACCCATTGTGCTGGATAGCTTTAGTGTCAACTTGACACACCTGGGTTGAGGGAGCCTCAATCGGGAAATTGCCTCTATTGGACTGGCCTGTGGCCATGTCTGAAGGGCATCTTCTTGATGAGTGATGTGGGAGGGCCCAGCCAATTGTGGGTGGTGCTACCCCTGGGCAGGTGGGCCTGTGTTGCATAAGAAAGCAGGCTGAGCAGGGGCCAGGGGAGCAAGCCAGTAAGCAGCATTCCTCCATGACCTGTGCTCCAGCTCCTGCCTCCAGGTTCCTGCCCTGAGTTCCTACCTTGGGCTCCCTGATGAACTGCATGCGACCTGGGAGATGTAAGACAAATAAACCCTTTCCTCCCCAAGTTGGTATTGGTCAGAGTATTTTGTCACAGCAATGAAGAACAAACTAAGACACCCATCCACAGTGGACAATGTAACCCACGAGGATTGGACCAGATATCCCATCCAACCTTTAACCTAGCATGTGGTGGGGTAGAGACCCAATAGATATCAGTCCCTAGTGATGAACTTTTATCTTCTGGATTCACCATGTCCAAGACTCCATGACCATGCCCCAGAGGGACAAGTCACTGGGACACACAACCAAAAGCTTGCCTTGCAGGACATGGGTGAGCTGAAGAGCTAGAAACATCCGAAGGCAACCGAGTCAAATTCATTTCAAATCGTATTTTCTGACTTAATTTTGACAAGAGAGGGCAAGGAGATCCCTCCTTTGTATCTTTCCATTGGCTGGTCAGGTTTAGAATGTTCCCTGGATTAGAGCTAAGCATGCATACTGAGTTCCTTCCTTCCTGGGAGGTCTGCCTCACCTGTTCGCCTTGCTGGTCAGAATGACGCCCCTGTGTGGTCTTCCGGGTTCTCTCCCTCTGGACTTGGCCTCTTTTCGCCAGTTCTGAAAGATGATCAAGTCAGTGCTGACTTGGAATTTCTCTTTGGACGCTCCACCCAAGGGCAAGCCCACAGGAAGGGCCCCAGTAAACTACCTTCTCAGACAGCATCCCCCCCGGTGGCGGGGGTGTCAGGTGATACCTTTGAAGTCAATGCCTTGATATCCTTGTTTTAACCCCAGCTGACAGACGGCTCCTTGGCTGGGTTATTTCAAACTACATTATATGCAGGAGAAAGAAATTGTGACTGAATGTGTTGGCTCTGTAATCCCAGCACTTGGGAGGCTTAGGCAGGCAGATTGCCACAAATTTGAGCCCAGCCTGGGCTACACAATGAATTCCAGGTCAACCTGCGCTATAGAATGAGACCCTGTCTCAAGAAAGGAAAGAAAGAGATTTAAAAAAGAAAGAAAGGTAAAAATTAGACTTCTGCTTCAAATACTATAAAATGTAGGAGAAAGTAGAAAATAGCACCTGAACTCCCAGGAGCTGGAGTTATGGCAGTTGTGAGCTGCTCTATGTGGGTGTTGGGAATTGAACTCAGATTCTCTGCAAGAGCACTATGCACTCTTAACACTGAGCCATCTCTCTAGTCCTATTGTTTTGTTTTTTTGAGACAGGGTCTCACTATGTAGCTCACTTTAGCCTGGAACTTGCTATGTAGCCCACACTGGCCTCAAAACATGATTCTCCTGCTCTAGCTTCCTGAGTCTGGGATTTACAAGCATGTACCACCACGCCCAGTTTTAGGATAATTATCAGTAATTAATTTTAACTAGTGATATTACAAATGATAATTATTTACTTCCCTGTACTCGTCTGTATACGTACAAATTTCATTATTAGTTTTGAAAAGCATTACTATAAAGTAATGCAGCAGGAGAATAAGGATGTGGAGAGAGAGAGAGACAGAGAGAGACAGAGACAGAGAGAGAGACAGAGAGACAGAGAGAGAGAAATATGAAAGAAGTCAACTTGCAAAGAGTGGAGAAACTTCCTCACCTGGGCTACAGGAACACAGTCTCCAACCCTAAGAGGAAAGCACTATGTAAATAACCTACAAAACGACTTGAGCCTTGATGCCCAGCTCTTTTTAGTGGCTGCCTGTCCCCAGCTCACTAGCCCACTCCCATTTTTAGCAATGTGTTCCCCTTTCTTAATAAACGGTCTCTATTTCTGGCACCCTCCCAAGGGTCCCTGGTACAGTTCTTTGTCCTGAGACACAAGAACCTGGATGCTTCAGCGGACGCCCTCCCAACCCTGACCTGTGCCTTTTCAGCTAGCACAGCCAGGAGTAAGACTGCTGTTTCTTACCTCTCCCCTTCTTTGCACACCCCTTTCACTTTCCCAGGAGCATTTGGAAAGGACAGGCTCCTGGGGGAGGCTGATAGTGCAGGTGAGCCCCTCACCCCTCCTTTGCTCTTTCTGTCCTCAACTTAGCAGCCAGGACCAAGTTTCCCCTGAAACGTTTCTCCTGGTCTAGGGAACATTAGCCAATCTTATTCAGAGGCAAACAAGCTCATGCATCTGCTGGCAGCTGCCAAACCTTCAGAACTTTAGACTGAAGGGCAACTGCCCCTGGCAGGCAGCCATCTTTAAACTGGCAGGCCTGCAAGGAGAGGCCCGACAGTGACCCAGAGCTGAGTCTGGAAGATGCAGGGATCTTGCCATGGATTTATGTCCCAGTAATAAACGGATCCTTTTCACTCAGGCCACTGTACACCACCCACAGGTAGAGACCTGCCAAGATGGTGACACCTACATGGCTGTTCAGAGTCCACAACCCTGTGTCCGCAGACTCCCCTGCTCCTCCGGCATTCACTCCTACAACCGTTTCTTCCCTTCTTTCCTTCCACCTTGCCAGATGCCCCACCGGGATGACTGGAATGACAGACTCGGACTGCAGGCCCTGACCCTGAAATGTTGGAATGTTGACTCTGGGGCCCACAGAGGTCCTAATGCCCATCACTTTGCATGCTGACCAGGCCAGGTGATCCCCACTTCACTGTGCTCCTTGCTTTTCTACCTGCTGTGGTGGATGAGCCCTGCTTTGTGCCGCAACTCCTCCCTGCACATTGCCTGCAGACAATCCCATCCCTGAGCGTTTGGAGATAATCCCCTGGGTCATATATGAACCTGGGATCCAAATGGGTTTGGGGGGGCGGGAATCTGCCTGCTTCCACTTTGATGCTGAACAGTGATTTAAAACAAAAAGAGGCTAAAGTCCTTCACATAGGTAGGCCTCTTCTTGGAGCCTAGCAGTCTGATAGCTTGGGACTATTTCTAGAGTTCTTAAGGAGATAGACCTTATTCCACTGAGGCAAGAGAGAACCTCAGAGAACCTCCCGGAAGGGACTTAGTCCTGGGAAAGAGACAATGTAGGTGATTGATTTAAAGCCAGGATAACTGTAGGAAGAGCTGGAGATTCAAACCAGTGTTTCCAATTCTCCCCCAATTATGCTTGGATTCACCCAGGGACTTGTAGGTAGGTCGGAAGGAGAGCTCCAACCCATCCGATCAACACTTAGGATAGATGAGTGTGCTGGATAGCTTTAGTGTCAACTTGACACACCTGGGTTGAGGGAACCTCAATTGGGGAATTTCCTCCATGGGACTGGCCTGTGGCCATGTCTGTGGGGCATCTTCTTGATTGTTGAGTGATGTGGGAGGGCCCAGCCCACTGTGGGTGGGCCTGTGTTGCATGAGAAAGCAGGCTAAGTGGGCAGCGGGGGAGCAAGCCAGTCAGCAGTGTTCCTCAATGGCCTGTGTTCCAGCTCCTGCCTCCAGGTTCCTGCCCTGAGTTCCAACCGTGGGCTCCCTGATTAACTGTGACCCAGATAAGATAAACCCTTTCCTTCCCAAGTTGGTATTGGTCAGAGTATTTTGTCACAGCAATAGAGAAACAAGCTAGAACAACGAGCGAATGCTTCTCTCCACTCCAGAGGACCTAGTAGTTCTTTCTGCATTGAGTGACCTTGGAATACATGATACGAATAAGGTCGATATCAATAAGGTTGATCCTAAGAAATTTGAAATAGAAAGATGATGGTCAAAGAAGGCACCCATAACACTCAAAGTGCTGAGAATAAGGGAATGCTGACTGCATGGCCCCAAGAGGACTTGTG